GCAGCTCCCTGCCTCCATTGCCGTTAAAGCACGCAACTCTGAAAATCAGGGTTGTTACGCGCCGAAGAGTCCTCCCAAAGCGTGCGGATCTGTACAAAGGGAAACTTTAAAAAAGAAAAGGCGGCGGCATGTGTGTTGCTTGACCTCGCGAAGGTAGTGGAAGTAAAACGGGCCGGGGAGGGGGGGCGGGTATAGATGGGAAATGAGAGCCGATGGGAAATAAGAGCCGGCTTTTTGCCCTCCAAAGAACAACTGAGAGCTTGGGTTTTGTTTGTTTGCTTCCCGATCCCCGAGTTGCGATGAATGGCCGGAGGGAGGGTTGTACTCGTGTGTGTCTGCAGCCTGTTACTGCCGGATCAGTCGATTGCAGCACTTCATCGTCCTCTGGGCCAAGCCGGTGGCAGTGATATGCAGCATAACACGTTCTTTATTTAGAAGAATCCAGTAGGAAAGCTTCCTGAGCTCGGTTAATGTGACCGCGGTTGCTGGAGGGTTGTCTCTGTGCGTGCATTTATGTCGTAAGTCTGGGAGATACGTGGATTTGATTGAAAGACGCAGTATTATTCTTTTAGGCAAGACATCTGTACATTTGCGACTTCCACAAAAACTTAATTCAGAGTGTGAGAAACAGAAGAAAGAGGAAAGGCAGCGATGATGATGGTGACTCACCAGTGCAAGACATCGACACTCCAGAGGTAGCTAAATAGTTGGGGGGTTTTAATTGTTGCGTTAAGCTTGTTCCTAACGACTACGGAGTCTGCATGGATACCACTTTTCCACCCTTGCAGCGCTCCTTATTTTGGGGTATGCAGGAAAGGGAATTTCCTCAGTTCTTAATATAACAAAAGCTAACGGAGTTTTATGGTATATTTTCTGTTTTAATTGTGCAGAGTAGAATGAACAAGATTCTCTAGATTATTTTTAAGTGTCTGCTAGTTCTCTCAGAAAATTGTTTTTAACTCTCTCCTTCTTGGTGTTTCCTCTCCAGAGTGGTGCTTTGCCACATTATCAGCACATTGTCTTCTGCAGGAGTTGACAACTTGAAGGGAATTGCACATAGGGCTTGGAATATATACACTTCACTGCCCTGTCCCCCCAGTCCTTTCCTTCTGTGCTGAATGTGTTGCAGATGGCTCTTGCAGTTATTCCATTGCCTTAGTCTGACTAGGAAAGTTTAATTTTGATAGCTCTTTTTTTTTTTACCCCTTATTGGAGAAAGAGACGTTTGAGGAGCTGTGGAGTGGAGGTGCTTTTCCAACGACTGGAGAAGGATGGTGCTTTTCCGACCTGCTTTCTCCACTACAGAGCAGCGAAACCTCACCCGTTACAAAAGTGAACTTCAGCTTTCAAACCTTTTGCATAGCATAGTGGGAGAGACTGCACCTAATGCGCTTTCTCCTACATGTGCTCTGGGTTATTTCTGCTGCAGTGTGGCTTAGCAGGTGCTCTTCAGCGTGTTAATTTTGCACAGAGGCTGTCATGCCTATCTAGTCCTTTCTAAGAGGGATTTTATTTTTTTTTAAAGTGTTCTTCAGAAATTGCTCTGTAAGTGTTAATTTAATGGCATCCCTGTGGTCAGCATCAGCAGATACCAGCAGTGTAAATGACGAAACTTTGTGCAAGAATGCTTGCCTAGAGGCACGTGGCTCCAGTCTGAAGGCTCTGGCTAAGAGGATTTTAGGGGATTGGGAGTAGTTTGCTGGGCTGTGTTGTTTGTCTTTTAAATATGTGGGATTGCGTCTTTGAAAGTTCTGTCTGAAGCTAATGTTCTGTGTGACTTCAGGTAGCTCTCTGGCACAGTAGTAATCACAGCTCTCCTGCTGCAAGCCTGTTTTATTTTCTCGTGTAAGAATTATAAAACATGTCACAGCTGATGGGTATCTCTAGCACAAGAAAGCAAGCTTTTTTTTATTAGCGCTACTGCAGGAAAGAAAACTGTCTGGGAAGTATTTTTGAGAATCTTCAGCTGGCTGTTAGGACGAGGGCAGTATGTTCATCCCATGCGATTGCTATATGCCTTAGGTGCCTGTTGGCCCTTGACCTTTATTATTTTCAATAGCTGTCCAGTTTACTAAGGAAAAATATATTCTTCTAAAGACTTGTAAGGCTGTAAGGCCCTCTTGTTTCCATCTTAGTCATGACCATCATTACCTGTTAGAAGTAATTCCTACTACAGGAGGGGAAGAGGCTTCTGCAGTACTAGTAGCTTCTGGGGCTTAGTGGAAAGCTGCTGCTACTCCCCTGTGTGATGTTCTAGTGAGTGGGTTCCCCACTGTGACCTGTGAAGTGGAATTTGTGCTGTGTAAGCTTTAGAATACCCAAGGATGCCCAGCCTCTATCACGCAAGGCAGCATCACATCAAGGCTGGCCAGGTTACCAAGTATGTGGTAGCACTGTTGTCGTTTAAATATTCTGTAGTTGAGGCTGCTAAATGAATGTAAAGTGGAAGTGAAGGCGTTAACCAATCTTTAACACAGAGTTTGGAGAACACTGCTGTAATTGCAACTGATCTAGCAGAATTTCTCATTCCGCTGCTTTCTCAGCTTGCTTTCCCACTCAGTCATCTGATTAAGCTCCCTTACATTGTCAAGGAGGGTGGGAGGGTAAGCAGTTGCTGGGAGAAGCGACTGTTGATCAGAGTTCGTGGGGTTCAGAACTGAGGGAGTACTGAGTTAAGGTTTATATCCCTAAGAAGACCTTGTGTGATTCTCTCAACCGTCAACTCACACTGAAAAATAGTTTCAGACAACTATGCTTGTGCACATAACTCCTGTGTTGTGCTTATGTAGCAGGGATATGTTTGGAGAGCAAAAGCAGCTGTTTTATCCTCTCACCTCCAGCCAAGAAAACTTTGTGCCCTAGACTTTTACATGATCCTAATACGTGCTATCTCATGGTGCAGATGTCTGTATCTTGCATGTAACTTGTGTAAAATTCGGTGGCTGAAATCATGGTATAGGGGCCTCGTTTGAATCGGCATCTTCATAGATGTTATTTGGAAGTTGTTACTGGGTCTTGTGTTACCATGCTTGAACTGGGGAACAAACAAAAAACCCAGAACTGATTGAAGTACAATAATGAGTTCCAAATACTATCCACAGCTAAAGGGAGGCAGAGCCATGCTTGGTAACAATAAAAGCTCTTAAACCAAGCTGGACTGTTTTCCTTTCTGCTGGAAGGTGCAGGGTGGAGTTTGTTTTTTGTCAAAATGAGATCTGCTGAGCTGACAGTTTAAACTTATGTATCTGTGAGATTGCAAAATGCTTTCGAGAGGCAAGCTATTAATGACTGAATTCTTTTCAGTTCATTAGATTGTTTTCTTCCCCTTACCCTCCTTTTCTTATAGGTTGATTTGTATCAGTTACAAGTAAACACACTTCGAAGGTACAAAAGACACTTCAAGCTACAGACCAGACCGGGACTTAACAAAGCACAGCTTGTTGAAGTATGTATGAGTGAGTGTTCCATAATAGAAAAAGCAACTTGCTATGGCATGTGGTTTTCTATACAATGTGATCCTTGCATAAAAAGCATGTGTAATCTGGATTTTGGGAGAACAAAAGGAAACTGCTTATCTAGCTTCCTTCACTGGCCACAGCTCCTGAGCCAAGTAAATCAAAAGTTTTTTCCAAAGGAGGGGCTCTTAACTCCCGAATGGAGCGTGTGGTGCTTGAAAACTCGAAGTGTTGAGTTGGAACAGTAAGATGATCTGCATGTCCCTGAATACCATAGAATCACAGATTTATAGTCTAGGCATCCGTCACACCTTCACCTGAAGTGTCCTGCT